TGGACCAGATGCTGTCTTTCAAGGGCTGGTGGATTTTAGCATCTTTGGACGGGATGGTGTCCTGTGAGGACTTGGGGATGTCATTCTCCTTGGACTGGATGGTGTCTTTTAAGGGCCTGTGGATTTTACTATCCCTGGATTGGATGGTATCCTGTGAGAACTTGGGGATGTGACTCTCCTTGGACCAGATACTGTCTTTTAAGGGCTGGTGGATTTTAGCATCTTTGGATAGGATGGTGTCCTGTGAGGATTTGGGGATGTCACTCTCCTTGGACAGGATGGTGTCTTCAAAGGACTTGCGGGTATCATCTTCCTTGGATTGGATAGTGTCCTCTGATGACTTGGGGTAGATGCTATTTGCTACAGGATTGTGGGTGGTCTCTTGTTTGGGATGGGTGGTTTTTGACAAGGATTTGGGCACGTTGCTATGCTTTGTCTGCATGGAGTGGCCCGACGTCTTAGAAATGTTTTTCTGTTTTGGATTATCAGCTTTGACTGAGGGCTTCGAGGTATTGCCCTGTTTCAGCTGTGTGGTTTTTGCTGAAGACTTGGAACTATTTCCATGTTTAGGATGGACAGTATTTTCTGAGAACTCGGGGGTATCACTAACCTGTTGTGAGATCTCAGACTCCTCTGTGGACATATGGAGTGTGTTGCTGACCATGGGAACAATGGCCTTCTCTTTGGCCCACTCTGTGTCCAAGAACCCTGGGACCAGAAGAGCCTCATTTTTGGATAGACCCTGTAATGGATTTTCTGAACAACAAAAAATAAATAAATAAAATAGAAATGCAAAAGAAGAAATAAAAGACTGAATATCTAAACGAAGGAAGACTTAACCCTTAAAGAGATCATGAATGAATCTTATGAATAATGTACAAATGTGAGTAACTTCATTCATCAGAGAGCCAGGCACCAGTGATGCTTACATGGGTCTCAAATGTATTTCTTGCTTTAACAACAACTTTCCTTTCTCGATTTAACCCAGCCACCTGCTCCCCATATTTGTGGACCCCTAAGGTAACCCTCTTCCTTCTTACCATTGGTGTCAACTTCCTTTGCTAGCCCTTGATGGTTTACTTTCATGGCTGGCTCTTCAGGGGCTCCTGCTTGAACACTGTTCATGTCCAAACCCTTGTCTTGGCTCATTTTTTTTTGGAGGGGGGGTCCTTCTTAGATTTTTCTTCTAGAGCCAAACTAAGAACAAAGGGTGCTAACAACTTAATGCTCAGGCGGCACTTCACAGCTGATGTTCCCAGCCAGGACTCCGACAGTAGCATGTGAAAGCTTCATGGCAGCCTCGGGCCTGGTTGTCATGCTGTGGGAGGCTGTGGATACATAAACAGGCATTATTTCCTCAAGTACAACCAACCACTGAGGTAAGATCCATTGTGATCAACACCTTACAGATGGGAAAACTGAGCCTCAGAGAAGTTATATGGCTAAGATAGGTCAGGGTACAAAACCTATGCTCAAATATTATTCTGGACACTACTCTTTGCCAAATAGTCTGTCTATACCAGGAGAATAAACCAACTTTTTTATCATTTTCCTCCAGGATTTTCTAGCACCAGATTTCTCTTTATGACTCATTAATTGTGTTAGTTTCTTTTTCTAATACCGTAACCAAACAACTGAAGCTATGTACTTTGCAAAAACATGAGGTTTATTTAGCTCATCGTTCTGGAGGTTTAAGGGAATAGCACCAGCATTTGGCTTTTATGAAGGACTGGCTGATGGATCCGAGAGCCCCACAACAAAGAACGCGCAAACAAGAAAGTCCCATGTCGGCACCGGAAGCCAGAGCGTGGAGAAGAGCTATGCTTACTCTCTTAGTCAGGGTCCCCATTGCTGTAATCAAAAACAACAGAGCCAAAAGCAACTTGGGGAGAAAAGGGCTTATTTGGCTTACATATCCTGAATCAAAGTCCACTAAGGGAAACCGAGGCAGGGACTCAAACCGGGCAGGAGTCCGGAGCTGATGCGGAGGCCATAGAGGGGTGCTGCTTCCTGGCCTTGCTTATCTTGGCTTGCTCCACCTGCTTTCTTATAGAACCCAGAACCACTAGCCCTACCACGGGCTGGGCCTCCCACATCAATCACTAGTTAAGAAAATGCCCTACGTACTTGTCCACAGCCCAATCTCACAGAGGCGATTTCTCAATTGGGGATTGCTGTGGGATAATGTTCTTGTATACTGTAAAGATTTGTCCCTCTAATTGGTTTAATAAAACGTTGATTGGTCAGTAGCCAGGCAGGATGTATAGGTGGGGCAACCAGACTAGGAGAATTCTGGGAAGAGGAAGGGCAGAGTAGGAGTCACCAGCCAGATGCAGGGGAAGCTAGATGAGAATGCTGCACTGAGAAAAGGTACTGAACCACATGGCTAAACATAGATAAGAATTATGGGTTAATTTAAATGTAAGAGCTAGCTAGTAATAAGCCTGAGCTACCAGCTGAGCATTTATAAGTAATATTAAGCCTCTGAGTCAATTATTTGGGAAGCAGCTGCTGGGTATTTGGGAACAGGTAGGCAGAAGAGAAACTTCACCTAGCAGGGATCCCCACTCTGAGATGACTCCAGCTTGTGTCTAGTTGACATAAAACTAGCTAGCATGCTCTCCTCACAAGAACTAACTCAGGATCATGAGAACTACCTTGATCCCTCCGGAAGGAAGAATCTACAAAGACCTATAGACCACCTCTCAACATTCCTATACTAGAACCAAGCTTCCAACTCAGGAACAAACTACAGTACTCACTGCAACTATCTCCTATGCGCCGGGCGGTGGTGGCGCACACCTTTAATCCCAGCACTCGGGAGGCAGAGGCAGGCGGATCTCTGTGAGTTCGAGGCCAGCCTGGGCTACCAAGTGAGTTCCA